ATGTAAAATCACGACAGGAAAATTGTCAATCTTCACTGAATTAATAAAGAAAAAATTTGTCGTGCGTATCGTCATCAACATATACAAGTACACAGCAAAGTAGACGATGATGTTGGTATACGAGAAAGAATATAGATTGTTATAAAATGTGGTGTATGAAGACGGTGTACATGGTAAGATAGGTGATGTTGTTAGTGTACGACGACCGGTGTACAAGACAGCATATGTAGCGTTGGAAAATATGGTGTATGCAGACGATGTACATGGTGGAATAGGTGATGGTGTTTGTGTACACGGTGGAATAGATGATGGCGTTGGTGTACGAAAACGATGTACACGGCGGAGTAGATGATGGTGTTGGTGTACGAAATGGAATATGAGAATTATGAACGGGAATAGCAAGGATGGTAAATAAGATGATAGGGTCTGGGTATATGGTCTGGGAATTAAGATTAGCAACGGTAGAATAGACGATGGTGTTTGATTTCATATGTATGTACGTACACCGTGTACGTCATCTACCTCTATGGATGTATGTACAACATCCCATTAATGTGTATGTGATTTCGTGAAATGTATGACACTTTGAAACATAATCCATATACACATGCAGTAAGCATGACTAATGACACAAGTTTATGTGATTTCGTGAACATGTGGTTGTATTGAGTGTATATGATATTCATACGTACATATTGTTTACTATTTGTATACTCTCAATTATAGATGTACGACGTTCTTATTTGATAGTGTACGTACATAAAACACATGATAGTGTACGTATTTTTATTTTATTAACGAGAATGTTTGGGTTAAAGTAAGAAAGAATGAGAACTTAAATTGTCAAATCAGTTAGAAATTGAATGATCACATAACAATGAGAAGACAAATGTGAACATCGCTATGATCGAAAGACGGAATGTCATATTCTGTTAGTTTTCACTGTTATGCAATTTACTTACATTTCTATAACTAGTTCGATAATTTAAAAATAGGGAAATTCCATAAAAATATTTCAATTAAATTTCGATGAGGTTTTTAATATCACAACTTTTTGAGTGTTCAAATAAATACTCTAACTATTTTCTTTGACCAATTTAATTCTCCAACTCTTGTCTGTCTATTCAGTTTACGAACTCGGACTAACTGAGCAGTAACAATGCCCGTTATTTTATTACTTTTTAATAATATAATTTTAATCAAAAAATAATATCATCAAAAAAAATTTAAAAAACAGCAAAAAGTTCCAAAAATTGTCTTTAAAACAATAATAATTAAAATTTGTTCACAAATAAATTATAGTTTCAGTTTTGAATTTTAAAAGCCAAATTAAATTGGTAATAATTGTAAAATTGCTAAAAAAAGTCTTAAATATACACAAAAACAATGGGACAATTGCAAAAATGTCACTTTTGGTGTGTATATTTGCAAGAATATTACTTAGATGTGTCTATTTGTAAAAGTATCACTAATTATAGATTATTAAAGCCTAAATCTTAAAATTATAAACTCTAAAAATATTTTGACCCCTTAAACCTCTTAAACCCTCAAAATTAAACTCTAATACAACATAGTTAAGCCAAATATAAATAATAAAAAAATAATTTTGAAAAAAGACATTTTTACAAATATTTTGAAAATGTGGCATTTTTGAAAATTGACACTTGAAAAGTGGCATTTTTAAAAATTTCTCAAAAATAATATGAATTTGAAGG